CACAAACAAGTCCAAGTTGCTCCACCTCTCTTTGGGTCTATGTTGGCACTCAACTGATTAGGTGTGGCCCACCCACGCCAAGGAAAGCCATGTGGTTTAGTCAGTGCACCATCCAGCGATGAAGGGGTCCCCAAAACCTGGTCAGGAGGCAGGCGGGGCTGCGGGAGACTCCCCGGAAACCGGGGGCCCTCACTCCACATGGGCGTCCTCGTTTTCAACTGAGCTCTCTCGAAAAGTCGCAGCACTTGCGATGCTCCGTTTTCCTCAAAGTGTCGCCTGTGACGCCAGCTGCACACGCGAGAGATGAGGCGGAAAGGCTTCCCGCCCCCAGGAGAAGCAAGCTGGCTGTGTGCACGCTGCCGGCCGAGCTGCGCCTTCTTCACCGTTTACGTCTTTTATTTATTATTATGTTTTATTGTTTTAAATGCTTTATTTATTTTTGAGGCAGAGAGAGACAGAGGGCGAGCAGGGGAGGGGCAGACAGAGACAGAGGGCGAGCAGGGGAGGGGCAGAGAGAGAGAGATAGACAATCCCGAGCAGGATCCAGGCTCCGAGCTGTCAGCACAGAGTCCGACGTGGGGCTCGAACCCACGAACTGGGAGATCATGACCTGAGCCGAAATCAGGACTCGGATGCTTAACCGACGGACTCACCCAGGTGTCCTCAGGTATTATTATTATTATTATTAAGAAATAATATGGAAACCAATTTGACAATGAAGTATTTGTAAAAAAATTTATTTAAAAAAAAAGAAATAAATTATCCTTATATGTTAGGAGAAAACCATGCCACAAACCAAGGTGTTTGTATGGTTTTGTTTTGCTGATGAAAAGAAAAATACCACAGGGGGCGCCTGGGGGGCTCCGTTGGTTAAGCGTCCGACTTGGGCTCGTGTCATGACCTCGCGGTGCGTGGGTTCGAGCCCCGCGTCGGGCTCTATGCTGACAGCTCAGAGCCTGGAGCTGCTTCACATTCTGTGTCTCCTTCTCTCTCTGACCCTCCCCTGCTCACGCTGTCTCTCTCTCTCTCAGAAATAAATAAACATTAAAATTGTTTTTAAGTTAGAAAAAGAAAAATACTACAATCACGGAGTCGTCACCGGGAAGGAAAACGCTCCCCCGATTCCCTCTGCACTTTGCGTTCACTCCTCTGAGGACACCTTGAAGGTTCGCGTCTCGCTGCTAAAATCGTGTCTAACTGATTCCCGTACGTATCTATTCCAGCCCCGTTTACTACACCCAGCGTTGGACGAACCGTTCAGAAGTCGTGGTTTTAGTTTGACTTTTTTGGGGGGAAAAAATAGCAGCATTGTATGAATCAGGACGAGAAATGAGTGCGTTTTTGGCGTTCGTCGTTTCCAAGGGTGGAGTTTTGTTGATGCGACAAACGCAAGGGGCAGGGGTTTCCCGCCGCCGCTCATGACTCCGGGCCCGGCCCGGCCGCCAGCCCCATGTTCAGGTTTGTGCGGAGCAGGCCCTGGGGCATCTGGGGCTCTTGGCTGAGTCCCGTTGATCCCCTGTGTCCCCGCCCCCCCCCCTGGGGTGACTGATACAACCACGTGCTTCCTGGCCCCTGGCCTGGCCCTTCTGGGCCCCAGGGACCTGCGTGGGCCCGTCACACGTTGTCAGGTGCGGGGCGGGGTCGGTGGGGACCGTGTACACACAGCAGAGCCGCCTGCAGAGCTCGCCACCTGTCAGAACCGCGTCTCAGCCGACCGTCGGTCGTCGCCGGAAACATGTTTCCAGGCTTCACACGCCCCTCCCCGGCCCGAGCGCCAACGCCCTCCCCGGTCATCGAATGTTGGCCAAGCCTTGCTACAATTTTAACTTATTTTTTTAAGGAGAAAGATGCGTAGCTGCATTCAACCACTAAGTTCCGGGGTCGTGAGTTTCAGATCATTGGAAACGTTCCACGTCTTACAATTTACACGTAGGCGCACGCTGGCCGCGTACCGTTTCACCTCCATGTAAAAATGACCAGAAGTCTCCTTATCTCAATGCAGAGCCTTCTGTGTTGAGTTCGCTGTTGTTTGGTGCATTCAGTTGAGTAATTTCACATCTAAAGTGGTATGTGTGTGTGTGTGGGAGTGTGTGCTGTGTGTGTGTGTCTGTGTGTGTGTGTGTGTGTTGGACTTTCACCCGGCGTAGAGGCCGCTCACAGCCTATCGGGAGAGTCAGATACACGCAGATAAACAGACATAAATTCCAGCAGTTACTGTTTCCTCTCAGACTGATAAATAAACGTCGCCAAGGGCGTGCACGTGTAGGAGAAACAGCCTGCATAGACTTGGGTCCTGTCTACACTTGCAAGCACACCCTGGGGGCTTGGCACGCGACCCCCACCCCCACCCCGGGATAAGGGGAGACGGGGTCTGCCTTATTTATTTCCTCTTGATTCTGAGCCAGACAAGCCACAATTCGGCTCCTTCCGGAGAAAGAAACACAAGACAGAACTTTGGTAACACAACTCGGAAGCGGCAGGAAGGCGGGATCGATAGCTGACCTTTGCTGACCTTGGCTGAGTTCCATCAATCAGGACCTGACTTTTGAGAGCAACATTCTTCCCTTTCCTGCTCTCTGGTTCGGGCGCCTGTTTTGGCTCCCAGGGCACGAGAGGCGACCCCAGGTTTGTGGATATCGGCTTCTCCGTTCCGCTTCGTAAGCTGCCTCTTCTCTGCCCGTTGGGTCCCTCGGGCCCATTTTCCAGGTCGGTAAGCAAAGTACTGTGGTCAACCAAGGATCCTCCCTAGAAAGTGGGAGAAAGGCTAGTGTGTAGCACTGCGTGTGTGTGTGTGTGTGTGTGTTTCACAGGCTCACACCTGCATCCCGTCCTCAGCCTGAACCGCTTGTGAAGCTGAGCTCGCTCGGTCGTCCATGTCTCTGTTTAGCTTACGCCCTTCGGCGATGCGTTCCGTGGGGTTTGGGTACAACTCAGGACGCCTCTTCAATTCACTTAATTTTTATTCTGGAACTCAGGGCTTCTTGACCTCAGAGTGTCTGGAAAATGTGATGGAAAATGTGATGGAAATTTTTTATTTCCCGCCAAGGAAGGTAGCGCTTAATAAAAAAAAAAAAAAGGCGAAAGTCAACTTAATGAATTACAAAGGAAAGTCTGTTGCTGGGATGAATGTAAATGGAAGAAAAATAAAACAGTCAAAGCCCGGCATTCAGAACAAGCGCAGATGCTTATTTATTACACCCCATGAAGGAGACGCAGCCCCTTGGGGATGCACTGCACCCCAGCCTGCAGAATGTTCTGGAATATTAACGGTGTCGTAAAGAGGAGTTTCAGCTGCCGTGGGGCCTACGTGACAGAAGTTACAGACTGGCCAGGTTGAGGTTCTCTTTTGAAGCGAGCAGGGCTGGCCTGGAAGGTTCCCCACACTTGGGGAGGGGTCTCTGGATTTTGGCTTCGGGACAAACCACGGGGTGTCTTTCACGCCTGTTTGATTCTGAGCGTGACTCACCTCAAGGGGTCAAAATGGCTGCATCAGCTCCAGCATCTGTTTGTTCCACAAGAATCGCCTCTTTGGCCCTGGCCCAGGGGCCACACCCTCCACCGGCCCCGCCCCGAGGCCGAGGCCAGGGGAACGGTGGCGAACGATGCGCCGCGCGCGTGCGTAGGGGCTGGGGGCGCGCGCCGCCTCCGCCGGGCAGTCCACCGGGGTTGCCTCCCAAGGTGGATTATTATGTTTGGGATCCTGCGGGCCTGGAAGGCAGAAAACCTCCCCGCCCGCGATGGGGGGCGGGGCCCTGGGGCGCCGCGCCTGCCTCAGGCCTGAGTCACAGAGCGGGCGGCAGGTGGCGGTCCCCAGGCCCCCCCACCCCCACCCCGCCTGACCCGGAGCGCAGAGTGGAGGAGGGTGTGCGGAGCGGAATGCGGGGATGTGACTCAGGGAGTTTTCTCCGCGGCGGAGATGTTCTCTACCCTGAGGTCACGCGGACCGAATAATACAGTAACATCTCAGTTAAACCACAGGGATTGAGAGTCTGCGCAGCGGCTCAGCCCCTGAGTCAGTCACCACCCGCGGGGGAGGGGAGGGGTTTCCTGCCTCTCTCTCCCCCTCCCCACTCCTACCCCCTGCTTGGGGGGGGAAGCGTCTTCCCCTGCCCCCACCCCCACTCCCCACCCCCACCCCTGCTTGGGCTGGGGAAGCCTCTCCCCTCCCCCCACCCCCACCCCCTGCTTGGGCTGCGGAAGCCTCTCCCTCCCCCCCACCCCCAACCCCGCTGCCTTGGCTGGGGAAGCCTCTCCCTCCCCACCATCCTCACCCCTGCGTGGACTGGGGAAGCCTCGCTCCCTCCGCATCCCCGCTCCTTAACCCCCCCCCCAGGGCTCCTGCAAGAACGTCCCTCTTGAGGCGGCGGAGCGGGGCTGCCCGGCGCCCCCAGAACCTGCAGCCCAAGCCCCGGGCTCTGTCAGCTCAGACTGGACTTGGGGACGGCGGGGCCCAGGGACCCAGCTCTCGCGGGAAAGGAGATTGCACTCTGCAACCCCCCCCCACCCCCAGGCGGCACCGGGTCCCTTAGCAGCGGGGAGGGGGCTCGGCTACTTGTCTGGCTTTGCTTCGCCGGGGGGGAGGGGCTGCGGACACCCCACGTTCTAAGCACGGGATGGGGGGGTCACTCGGGGGGAGGGGCTGTTAGGCGCGGGTGGGGTTCCCCTTTCCGAGCAAAGACGGGAGTCGCTCGCTCCGCCCGGCACAGCCTTGGGGGACCGCTCCTCCCCCGCTAACCCCTCCCCTGCGCCCCGCCCGCCGCAGCTCTCTCCGCGGCCGCGGGCGGGGCCAGCCGAGCCGGGGCGGGGCCGCAGCACCGGCCACGCCCCCACCCTCCTCAGGCCACGCCCCCTCCCGTCCCTCGCGCCCCGCCCGCCGCGAGCTCTCTCCGCGGCCGCGGGCGGGGCCAGCCGAGCCGGGGCGGGGCCGCAGCACCGGCCACGCCCCCACCCTCCTCCGGCCACGCCCCCTCCTCCCCTCCCGCCCCCCGCCCCCGCGCCGCGCCCCGGGGCACTCCCGCCGCCGCCGCCCGCGCGCCCCAGTCCCGGGCCGGTTCCTGCGCGGCTCCGCGGCCGCACCATGGCTCCCCGGGCCGCCGTCGCGCTGCTGCTGGTCGGCCTGCTCGGCGCCCTGGCGCCAGCCCGCGGTGAGCCATCTGGGGGGCCTGCGGGTGGGGCGGGGTGCAGGGGGCGCGGGCCGGCCGGGGGACCCGCGTGCGGACGCGCGCCCGGGGCGGGCCTCGGGGGGCGCAGCGTGCGCGGCGGAGACCCCGGAACCCCCCCTCCCCGCCGGACGCACGGGGCGCGCGCGCCGTGCCAGCGGGTCGCCAACGCCCCGGGGAGGCGGCTCCGCTCTCCAACTTTGCGGGCGGGTTTGGACTCGCTCCCGAGGCCCAGGGCACTGAGTGTTTTCAAAATCACAGGCTTGGAGACTCGGAGGCCCTTGGGGGAGCGGGAGGGGGGTCCCTGGATGCCCACAGGCGGCTGACTTCTTACGTCCCGGCTCCCCCCAGCCCCGCGCGCCCCTGCGCCCCTGTTTTGGTCCGGGTCCCCCTGGCGCTCTCCGGGGCCCCCGTCTTTGTTCCCGAGCGGGGAGCCACGCCCTGCGCTCAGGGCCTAAATTTGGACTTGGCCGTGCAGCCGGCGGGGGGAGGGTGGGGGGGAGTTAGGGGGAGCTTGGAGCGCAGGGCGCGCGCGGTCACGAGCACAGGGCGCGCTGTTGCGCGTCCGCTGGAAAGAAGCGTGTTCTGGGCAGAATGTGCGTGCGCTCGCGTCTATACTTGTGGAAACACTTGGAAAGTGTCTGCACACGGAAGGGGCCGGACCGCACCCGCGCTGTGCGCGCCCAGCGCGGCCTGGGTCTGGTCCTTGGCCAGTGCTTCCCGGCCCGTCTCCTTTGCCAGTGCGAGTTGGGATCCTGTTTCTGGGTCTTTTCCGAGGGGGAGCTGGATTGTGCTGGGCGTCGCATTTTTAAAGCTTCCCCTACTTGCCAGTTATTAGGAGTTTTCTTCCCTCCTGGTAATAGGCCCAGATTTTAAGCGGGCACCCAGGTCGCCCAGGGCGCTGTCTGGAGCGGCGTGATGCCGGAGGGGGCGCGTTTTGGAGACCGGGGTGTGCGTTGTGCTGGGAATGTTCCTGATGTTGGTGACTCCTAGCTCAGCGCGGGGCTGACTTTCGAGTCCTTGGCGTCCTGCTTGGTTCTGGAAGGATCGGCGCGTTGGGGAATGTCTGCGCTTTGGAAACGGGCTTCAGGGAAGAGGGGGGTGGTCCCTCCGTGGGCCTGCTGGGGACGGGGGTTCAGGGTTTCCCGGGTGTCTGTCTGTCCTTCTTCCTAAAGGAGTATCTTTCCTCGTCTGCGCCCTGGCTGGTGGGACAGAAATGATGGTGTCTTTGCGAAGCTCCGGCTCCAGGGGGTTTTCTGGGGGCCCCTCTTGGCCTGTGCCCCCGAGATTTTTGCTCACTGGTGTGCCCCCGAGCTCCCCCTGTGATTCAGTTGCAGGGAAACGGAGCACAGCTGGCTTTGGCGGCTCAGGAGCGTACGTCCTCTGGGGAAGGAAGAACATGGAAACGGACAGGGGACCGTGACCCAGTTCAGGACCTGCGTGGGGGGAGGGGAAGTCCTGGGTAGCGTGAGGGTTCGCTCTGGCGTGTCCTGCTCACAGCTCTGCGTGTCCAGGTCATCCAGGTCTGGGTGGCCGACGGCCTCACACGTTCTTGGGGCCCCTAACTAGTCATTCTGTGATTTCTTTTTTATTTTTTTAAATGAAAAACCGTAGCACGGTTAGCCCAGAGTTGCCTGATTTCTGTAGATTGTGCTGGGAAACTCCAAGATTGGTGGCGATTTTACTAACGTTACTGGCGCCTCCGTGGCTCAGGCGGGTAAGCGCCCTACTTCGGTTCAGGTCGCACGGTTTGTGGGTTCGAGCCCCACGTCGGGCTCGGTGCCGACAGCTCGGAGCCTGGAGCTGCTTCGGATTCTGTGTCTCCCTCTCTCTATGACCCTCCCCTGCTCACGCTGTCTCTCTCTGTCTCAAAAAATCAATAAACGCTAAAAAAAATTAAATAAAATTACTGGTGGCCGCTCTGGGGGAGGTAACGGGAGCCAGGCTCGCCCCAAAAGAGCAGAGAGGGGATGGGGCTTTACTACGTGTCCATCGTCTTAACAGAGTCCTCCCGGCCGCCTCCTTACTTGGGGGGCAGGAATGCGTTGTTGTAAACATACCACTGAGATCTTATCACGGAAGGGCTTTGGAGGTGGTGACGGTCAGAACACACTTCCCTACAGAAATATGTGTCCCGTTTGGGTTCCATTGTGGCTCTAAAAGCACGTGGAGTCTGGGGACGGACCTTTGCTTTTAACACCACATGGTGGGTTTCGGAGGCCTTGGGACCCAGGCTCCAGGGGTTACTGGATTTGTTCAGAAATTCCCGCCGGAATGGAGACCCGGAGAAGCCGCGGAAGGAAAGAAGAGGCACGGCTTTACCTCCCCCTTCCTCGATGGAATGTTGGAAATGCTTGGGTGTCACAGCTGAGGGGGAGGGGTGCCCGTGGTATGTGGTGGGTGGAGACCAGAGAGGGTGTTCATCACCCTGCAGTGCACAGGACACCCATCCCAGAGTCATCCAGTCCCAAATGTCAAAAGTGAGTGTGGGCTTGATTTCTGCAGTTTCCTGATGACTCTGGTTTTTTCCCCGTGGCTGCTTGTCTCTGCGTTTCTTGGCAACGAAACGGCCTTCATGGTCCCGCCTATTTGACCGCCTGCACTTTGGGCTCTGATAAAACTCAGTTGCCCTTCGGTGGCCTCCGCCCTTTGGCTTTTTTTCCATCTTCAGTTTATGCTGCTTACACTTTTTTTTTTTTTTTTTGTATCTCGATATATGAAAATAGTTGGTTTTTGTGGATTTTTTTTCTTCATGTGGATTATGTGTTGACTGCCTGCTCTCATTTAGTAAAGAATGTGGCTGACGTGCTACTTTTTAACCAATTCCACACTGAGGAGTCTGGGCGGGGTTTGGTGCAGGATATGTGGCGTTTTCCCAGCTGGCGCTTTCCGCCCGGGAGCCTGACTCGCACACACATGGGGATCTTAGTGTTTCCTCCTGCAGAGATTTTCCAGTGCACGGTGGCTTCTTGTCATAGGTGTTTTGTGGCTTATATAGACAGGGTTTCGAGGTTCAAAATTAGCATTCTGGGTCTGCGTGGAATCATCCAGATGCTCACAAGAGTGTTGTTCTGACATCCAGGTGTCTGTCCCGTGTGAATCGGCAGAGGTTGCTCAGTTCCCGGGGTTGGTTCGGAGCGTGTGTTTGTGGAAGGGTCTACAGGAGTCCTTTTAGGGGCGGGGGAGATGCCGTAGCTTGGGGAACACGCTCTACAATCAGGGGACATTTGCTAAACACCCGGGAAGGACACAGGCTTGAGAAGAAGGGCCAGTGGCATTTTAATCCACGGAGAACGTGTGGAAACAAGTGTGTCCTGCTGGTAACATTTGTCAGGAGACCTGGAAAGGGTCAGGATGGGTGTTGTGGGTGTGTGAGCACACACGAGTCTTCCCCTCCCGGAGAGTGTGTGCACGGAGGCGTGGGGGACGGAGAGCAGTGTTGTTACGGAAGACGCATGTCACCAAAACACCGTGCCTGTGTGCGTGCATGTGTGTGTCTGTGTGTGCATGCATGTGCCCCTGCGTGAATGCATGTGTCCGAATGTGTATGGCCACACACATGTGCGTGTGCATGCATGTATGCATGCCTTGTGCGTTTCTGTGTGTGCACATGAGTATGTGCATGTGTCTGCACGTGTGGGTGCATTATGTCTGTGGGTGTGTGGCCACGTGTGTGCGTGTGCATGTGTGTGCGTATGCGTGTGTCTGCATGTGTGACGTGTGTGCACAGCAGTATGTGTGCACGTGTGCGTATGTGCATCTGCATGCCTGTGTGTGGCTGTGCATGTGTGCAATGCAGGTGTGACCACGAATGTGTGCAGGTGTGTACATATGTGTGCATGTATGCGTGTACATGTGTGCACACGTGCATGTGTGTCTGGGAACGTGTGCAGGTGCGTGTACATGTGTGTGCATGCACATGTGTGTTTGCATATGTGTGCGCGTACATATACGTGTGAATGTGTGCGCGTATGTGTGCGCACACGTGTGTGCGCTCCGCGGGCCATCTGCTGATGCAGCGGACACACCAAGGCCTCCCGCTTGCCGGCGGCTCCACAAACACCGCCCTGTGTCCACGTGAACGGCTCCTTTGGTGGTTACACACATTTCCTGCCACTTGGGGAGGAAGCAGATGCTGAAGTCCAGAGCAGTTCCCTTATCTTGTTCCTTGTTTTCCGTTCATATCCGCCCGGAGCCTTGCACTGCGGGGACCCACACACCTCCCACTCAGCACCCCCGGCGGGTGGGTGACACGGACCCCCTGCGGGTCGAGGGCCGCGCGCCGGCCGGGCCCGGGGCTGGTTCTCCGAGCCGCGCCCCACGCCCTCTCCCGCCTGTGCGTTGGGTTGGAGATGGTGAGCGAGCCCAGCTCCGTCTCGTATGCAGCGAGTCGACGGCCTGTCCCGCGTCTCTGCGGACGCGGCGCTTCTCTTCGCTGCGTTTCTGTCCCCGGCCTGCCCCCTGCCCGCTAGACTGGTTTCGGGAGGCAGCGGCCTGGGTGCGTCTCGGCTCCGCCTCGGAGTGACTCACCCTTTGCACTCTCCCTGGTGTGGCCAGGGCAGCCGGTGACTCAAATCCCCTCCACAGGAAACCAGGTGCTTCCTGTCCCCTCCCCTGTCCCCGAGTCAGAGCTCAAGCCCGTGTGCAGCTGGGGACCCGCCGATGGGCCGGGAGCCCCGCGTGCGGCTGGCGGCCTCGGAGAACGGGCTCACTGGACGGTGACGCAGCCGCTGTGTTCCTCACGAGCCCGCTGAGTGATGGTCCCTGAGGCGCTCGGTCCGGGTGGTCTGGTCGTGTTTGCTACCCCGGGTGGCGGGCAGAGGCCGTTAAACCTACGTGCAGAGCCACACGCCCCTCAGTCACCTTCCTTCCTGGTCCCGAGGTTTGGGAGACGATCCCTTCGTTTTCGGGAAGTACCTCTTCCAGGGCGGCGGGCCCGCTGAGTGCTTTCCGGAAAAACGATGATTGTAACTCCTCCAGCGGGA